TGAAAGGAACATAGGGGTATAAGTGTCTTTTATATGTTGTGTTTTTGGGCCCTTGGGGTGGAGTTGCTGGGTTAAATGGAAGAGCAATTTCCAGACTTTTGAGGAATGTGCATATTTTCCAAAAGGCTGCACAAGTCAACATTTCCACCAGCAGTGAATGAGAGTCCCTTCCTCCCTGCATCCTTGCTAGTACTGGTTGTTCTTGTTCTTTTTGATGTGTGCCAGTCTCTGTGGCATGGCATGATACCTCAATGTTGTTTTGATTTTTATTTCCCTGTTGATTAGTGATGCAGAGCATTTTTTTTCATGTTCATTTTGGCCATTTGTATTTCTTTTTTGAGGAAGTTTCTGTTTATCCTCTCCATTTTTGATGAGATGGATTTTCTTCTTGTAAAGTTATATCTGTGCCATATATATATTTTATATTAGTCCCATATCAGATATGCATTGGGTAAATAATTACTCCCATTCTGTGGTCTGTCTTTGTGTCCGAGTCAGAGTTTCTTTTAAGATTCAGAAGTTTCTTTGTTTAATGTAGTCCCATTTGTCTATTTTGCTTCCTCTTGCTTGGTGGAATTGAGGTTTTATCTTTGAAGATGCTGTTAGCTCCAATATCATGGAGAATTCTGCCCATATTTTCCTCTGTGTACCTTATGGATTCAGGTCTTATATCAAGGTCCCCAAACCATGTTGATCTGACTTTTGTTCATGGCATAGAAAAGAAGTCTGAGTTTATTTATTTATTTATTGATTGATTGATTGATTGATTGCATGTAGCTGACCAGTTTATCCAGCACCACAGAAGGCTTTCCTTGCTGCACTTCATTTTTTTTTTTGATTCTTTATTGAAGATAAATTGATCGTGTACCTAAAGATCTGCTTCAGGATGTTTAGCTCTCTATTCCATTGACCTGAGGGTCTTTCTTTATTCCACCACATTGTTTTAATTACTACTGTTTTGTACTACAGTTTGAAATTGGGGAAAGTGACATCTACCATCTTCTTTTTCTAAGGATTACTTTCAATATTCTGTGGAGTTTATTATTCCTTATGAATTTCAAGATTGTTTGATCTATTTATTTGAAAAATGTCATGGGTATCCTTAGAGGGACTGCATTGAAACTGTACAGTACTTTGGGGACTATTGCCACTTTTTAATTGTTTTGGGGGCCACACTCAGCAATGTTCAGGAGTTGCTCCTGGTTTTGCACCCAGGAATTACTCCTGGTGGTGCTTGGGGACCATATAGGATACTGGGGGTTGAATTCCAGTAGGATGATTGCAAGGCATACACCCTACCCCCAGTCCTCCTGCTCCAGCCTCAATATTACGATTTTAATGATGCTATTACTCTCAAACCATTATCAGGGGATATGTTTTCATTTCCTCATGTCCTCTTTTATTTCCAGAAGGTGATTTTTGTAGTTTTCTATGTATAGATCTTTCACCTTTTTAGTTAAGCTGATTTGGAGGTATGATTTTTTTAAATTAAATTCCTTTTATTGAATCACGGTGAGATACAGTTACATAGCTGTTCATGGTTGGGTTTCAGTCATACAATGTTCCAACACCCATTCCTTCACCAGTGTTTATTTCCTACCACTAATGTCCCCAGTTTTTCTCCAGCCATCCCTAAGCCCCTTGCCTTATGGCACGCCCTTTTTTTGTTTCTTTTTCTCTTCTTTTGGGCTTTATGCTTTGCAATACAGGTACTGAGAAGATATCTTTGTTCCTTTACCTGCTTTCAGCATGCACTTCTTATCGAGAGTGATCATTTCTATCATTGTCCTAGTGCTCCATTCTTTATCTCAACTGTCTTCTTCCCCAGCACTTGAGGCAGACTTCCATCCATGGACCAATAAATAGTTGCCTCTTATCATAGAGACATTAAGTCCTTGTATGGGAAATTATTAAGATGCTGCTAGAGATTAAGCTTTCTGTGTCTGTGTTGTTTTTTTTTTTAATCGAGATTGGTTACCTTCTACAATTTGGTGTGCTACTACTGGTTTATCAGTGTATCAGTGTTGTAGACTTTGAGATGTCAGGAAGTTCAGAATTTGTATTGGGAAGTAGCAGCTGTAGTTGTTTTTTTAACTGGATGCCAGCTTTGGGGTGTGCACATGACTGCCGGGGCTTCAGGAAGTACAGGGGTGTGTGGGAAGCTACTACTAGCCATCACTACTCCAAGAAAGCCTGGAGATTTCAGCCACAAATCCTGCATACCTGAATTTTCAACAGGTTAATTTCTCAGTGAGGCTCATCCCAAGATGATGGAGTCCATCCGGGGGCATGGAAGTGATTTTGAATTGTGGGAGCAAGCAGCTGCCGGGGGCTCTATTTGGGTTCGCACTGAACTAACTCTCTCCTCTTGGGTTCACTGACTATCTCAGCTATGCATGGGTGTCCAAAAATTTTTTTTATAAGTCTCTGGATTATAAAAAAAAGATTTATTATAAAAAAGATTGATTATAAAAAAGATTTATAAGTCTCTGGAGCAAGACTGGTAGATTAGCTTGCAGGGCAGCATGGGAAATGGTTCATGGGTGTGACTCCCACATACCTAAATTTTTAGCAGTTTAATTTCTCATGAAACTTGGTCCCAGGTTGATGGAGTCAGGCTGTAGGCATGGCGATGACTTTGAGGTGTCTAGAAGCCCAAGAGCAGCATCAAGTAGCTGATGCTCTTGCCTGTGAGTCCAGGTTGAACCACCGCTGGCAGTGTTACATCCTCTAGGCCCCAGCCATGGCAGTGGCAGTGGCAACTATGACCGTGACTATGACCAGGGCCAGGATGGTGGCCATGTGTGGCTCGGATGCTCTGGGCAGACTGCTGCTGTAGACCCTGGTTGGGCCACTCACCCTCGTCCTCAGTTCTGGTTTCAAGTAATTCAGGCCCAAGGAGCTGAAGAGCTCTGAGATTTTCCTCCAAGGCATGATGCAGGAGGCAGCAGCAGTGAGGGCTGAGCTGGAGGCGGGAGGCAGTGGTGGCTTTAGACAAGGTAGGATATTGGAGTATGGCGAGGATGCACAGTCGGCAGTGAGTTGTGTATCATTCCTTCGAATCCAAATGAGAATCTAGCTGGGTGAATTATTTCAAATTATTCCTGGTTAGGTATTCATTTCATTTCATTGAGGCTTTTGTTTGTTTGTTTGTTTTGTTTTGTTTTGTTTTTTGTGTTTTTACTATAACCCACCATTATCTTCAGACTTGGAGGGTTTTGTTTGGTAAATCTGCTGTAAATCTTTAGGATGCTCCTTTGTATATAATTTCCTTCTTTTATCGTGTTGCTTTCAGTATTCTATGTTTTTCATCATTCTGATTAGGATGTACCTGGAGTATTTTTATTTGGATATCTTTTTGTTGGTACCCTTTGGGCCACCTGGATCTAGGTGCAGGCACTGTCTAGCTCTGGGAACTTCTCAGCAATACCTTTACTGTTGCTTTTTCATTATGTTTGCCTTCCTGACCCTGTTAGACCGAGTGATTCTTACTCAGTTATTCTTGAATTCATCCCAGTGTTCTTTTGTCAGCTATTTGTAGTTTTGAGGCTTTTTTTCATCTTCTGCTATTATCTAGAGGATTCCTGCATCTCATCTTGGAGATCATGAATTCTGTCCTCAGCAGCTATTACTCTGCTGCTGAGCCTTCAGTGAGTTTTCTGTTTATAGTTTTCTGATTTCTGCTCTCATATATAGTGATACTGGTTATTTTATCTAGAGATTTTTTTCAACTTGTTCAGTATCTTTAATAGCCTCCTAAATTCCTTCTAGGTGATGTTCTTAATGATATCATTTGAGTACTGATATAATTTAAACTTAAAACATGTTTTATATTTCTCTGAAATAGTAAATGTGAATAAATTTTATACATCCTTTATAAACACATATCTGTGAAAAACTAAGCTGCTAAGTGAGATTGCTTTTCCTTAACTTTCTCCATGAACATATGTTTGTTGTGTATTCGTTTATTTGTATTGTGCTATGACTGCAGACAAATCATAGTTAAAATGTTTTTGTTTGTTTATCTTTGTTTATTTATTGTAGCCCTGGAGATGCTCAAGGATTATTCCTGACTCTGTGTTCAGGGATCACTCCTCCTGGCAGGAGTGTCAGAGATAGAATTCAGGTCAGGTGCATGCATGTCAAGAGCCTTACCTTCTGTACTATCTCTCTGGTTTCTTCGAATTTTTTGGTAAAGGTAAAGGTAAAGGCCCTCCCGTTGATCGTCGATTTGCTCGAGCGGACCCAGTAACGTCTCCATTGGAGACTTTGTTGTTACTGTGTTTGGCATATCGAATACTCTCGGTAGCTTGCCAGGCTCTCCGAGAGGGGCGGAGGAATCGAACTCGGGTCGACCATGTTGGCCGCTTGTAAGGCAAACGCCCTACCCGCTGTGCTATCGAATTTTTTAATTTTAAAATAATTTTTGCTTGCAAGAAAACTTGTTTTTTTATTTATTTGTTAAAGAAAAATTACAGAATAACATCTTATTTGTGGTCTGGAGAGATAGTTCAATAGTCAGAATGTATGCTTTGCATGTAGGAGGTCTGGTGAGATCCCTGGCAGCACCTGATGCTTCAAGTACCAGGAGTAATCCCTGAACTTTGGTGAGGCTTTGATGTGGCTCAAAACTTTGGTGTGGCTTTGGTGTGGCTCGAAACTCAAGACCAACAAATTTATTGGAGATGAAATTCTGCAAATTGAAATATTTTACTTTTAGCAGCTTCTCAGCAAATGATGAAAACACTAATATTTATCTTTTATTAATGAAATTTTCTGGTGTCGTTTGTCATGATTTAAACAGGAATCTGCAGTAGGATGGTATGAGGAGTACAGTACTACGGTACAGCTATTTTTGCATGTGAAAATAGATTTGTATATGAAGACTTTCGATACTGATTTTAGTCACTGCTATTGAAAATGATGTATCACATGTTCATATATTTTATAAATAGGAATTGTTGTATTGTTTCATCTTACAGAAATCATGTCTTTTTTAGATGATTTCAAGCCTGCTTCTATTGATACTTCCTGTGAAGGAGACCTTGAGGTTGGCAAAGGTGAACAGGTTACGATAACTCTGCCAAATATTGAAGTGAGTATTTATTTTTCTTTCTTCTCCTCCTCTTTCTTTCTTTCTTTCTTTCTTTCTTTCTTTCTTTCTTTCTTTCTTTCTTTCTCCTTTCTTCTTCTCCCTTCCCTTCCCCTTCCCCTTCCCTTTCCTCCTCCTCCTCCTCCTCCTCCTCCTCCTCCTCCTCCTCCTCTTCTTCTTCTTCTTCTTCTTCTTCTTCTTCTTCTTCTTCTTCTTCTTCTTCTTCTTCTTCTTCTTCTTCTTCTTCCTCCTCTTCCTCCTCCTTCTTCTTCTTCTCCTCCTTCTTCCTCTCCTCCTTCTTCTTCCTCTCCTCCTTTTTCTCCTTCCTTCTTCCTCCACTTACTCCTTCTTTTATTTTGTATTTTTGTGCCTCATCTTTCTGTACTCAGAAGATACTCCTTATTAATTGCTTAAAGATCACTCTTGATAGAGTTAAGAGACTATAATTCTAGTCTGGGCACCATATATAACTACTGGGGATCAAGCTATTTCTCTTGTCCTAAGTATTTCTATATGTTTACTAAAAGGATTTTGGGGCAGGATTTCCACTGAATTTAAACAAAAATTATTACATATTCATATAGTCATAGTCAGTTAACACATACAACAAAGTCAAAATAAAAAGCAGTATTTTTTTATTTTTGGGGGATTATTCCTTTTTTTTAATTTTTATTAGTGAAACACCATGAGGTACAGTTGTAGATTTACAAATTTTTGTGCTTGGGTTTCGATTATACAATGATCAAGTACCCATCCCTCCACCAGTGCCCATTTTCCACCACCGTGGATCCCAGTATTCCTCCCACACCCATCCCCCCATCCCACCCTGCCTCTGTGGCAGGGTATTCCCTTTTGTTCTCTCTCTCCTTTTGGGTGTTGTGGTCTGCAAAAGAGGCATTGAGCGGCAATCATGTTCGGTACATAGTCTACTTTCAACATGTATCTCCCCTCCTGGGAGGATCCTCCCAACACCCCTTATTTGGTGCTTCCTTCTCTATCAGAGCTGCTCCAAAAGCAGTATTTTAAACTAGTCAAAACAATTGTAAAGCACTTTAGTAGGTCTCAAGAACAGTCTACCCTATCTTTGGAAACAAATGGAGATTTAAATAAATATTTTAAATTACTTTATGCGCCAGATATTGTATTCTTAACTAGGAATAGTTGCTTATCCTATTTTCTATTTCTATTCTGTTATAGCAGACATACAAACATCTAGTGCTATAAGTTAAGGCATGTATAAAATTCTATGCAAGAATGTATGGATAATAAGATACTCTGCCTGGTAGACTCTTGAAAGAATTCACAAGTCAGATGCTGTTTTGATCTTGACCTCCAAGGACAAATAAAATTTTATCATGTTAGAAAAGTAAAAGAGCTTCACGCCCAACCGAGGCCATGAGTTGCCCCCCACGAGGTGTGGCAAACAAATTATATTCTGCATTCTACCTTTTCATTAGATCAACTTATGTATTGAGACCTTAGATTATATCAGACTATATTAGTTACTACTTCTGAAGGTTTTCCTATGGTTAATTACATTTGTGGGATTTCTTTCTTTTTTTTTTTAAATTTAATTGAATCACCATGAGATAGTTATAAGCTTTCATGTTTGGGTTACAATCACACAATGATCAAACACCCATCCCTCAACCAGTGCACATTCCCCACCACCAATATCCCCAGTATACCCCACTTTCCCAACCTCCCTCTGCCTCCTGACAGACATGATTCCCCATAATCTCTCTCTACTTTTGGGCATTCTGGTTTGCAATACAAACCCTGAGAGGTTATCATTCATGTTTGGTCCCTTATCTACTTTCTGCACACATTTCCCATTCTGACTGATTCCTCCAGCCATCTTTTTCTTAGTGATCCCTTCTCTATTCCAGCTGCCTTCTCCCCTTTGCTCATGAGGCAGGCTTCCAGCTATGGAGCAATCTATCTGTCCCATGTATCTACTGTCCTTAGGCATCAGCCTCATGTTATGTTGTTTTATACTCCACAAATGAGTGCTGTCCTTCTATGTCTGTCCCTCTCTTTCTGACTCACTTAGCATGATACTCTCCATGTCTATCCATTTATAAGCAAAGTTCATGACTTCATCTCTCCTGACAGCTGCATAGTATTCCATTGTGTAGATGTACCAAAGTTACTTTAACCAGTCATCTGTTCTAGGGCACTTGAGTTGTTTGCAGATTTTGGCAACTGTGAACAGTGCTGCAATGGACATATAGGTACAGATGTCATTTCTATTGTGCTTTTTTGCATCCTTGGGGTATATTCCCAGAAGTGCTATTGCAGGGTCATATGGAAGGTCAATTTCTAGTTTTTGAAGGACTTTCCATATTGTTTTCCAGAAAGATTGGACTAGTGGACATTCCCACCAACAGTGAAAAAAATGGAACGCTTCACAAATTTGCATGTCATCCTTGAGCAGGGGCCATGCTAATCTTCTCTGTATTGTTCCAATTTTAGTATATGTGCTGCTGAAGTGAGCACCATTTGTGGGATTTCTTATTCCACACTTCTCATTTGCTTCTTAGAAACTTAAGGAAATCATTTAATTTGAAATGTTGTGGAAAATAAGCCTTCCTGTTACTCTGTTATTAAAAAAGTGTTCAGATTCTAGTATTCCTGAAATTGTTTGGAAACTTGTTAGCAATAAACTAAGATTATTAATTTCCTTGTGATTTTTCTTTAAGAAAATAATATAAACCATTCACTTAATTAAAAGGTTTTTGAGAATCCTTAAGTTGAGAACACACATCACTTAGCCTAGCATAATTTTATAGTTATATAAAATGTTATATACTGGAGAAACATTAGAAGGTTTTAAGCAGTTTTTTAAGCAGTTTTTATCATCAATACATGCTGGATTTTTTCAAATGGCTCCCTGTGTCTATTGATATGATAATATGGTTTTAAATTTTTCTTTTACTGATATGGTGTATTATGTTGATTGACTTGCAAATGTTAAACTGTCCTTGCATTCCTGGGATGAATCGTACTTGGTTGTGTGTGTATGATCTTTTTGATGCATGATTGGATTCTGTTTGTTTGTATTTGTTGAGGATCTTTGCATATTTGTTCTTCAGGGATTTCAGCCTGTGATTCTCTCTCTCTCTCTCTCTCTCTCTCTCTCTCTCTCTCATTTTTTTGCGGTGTCTCTGTCTGATTTTGGTGTTAGGGTGATATTAGCCTTATAGAAACTGATTCATCTTTTTCTTCAATTTTCTGGAAAAGTCTGGAAAGAATTGGCATTAGGTCCTCTTTAAAAGTTTGAAGGCATTCACTAGTGATTGCACCTGGGCCTGGGTTTTTGTTTTAGGAAGACTTTGGGTTACCATTTCAGTATCCTTGATAGTGATAGATCTGTTCAGGTATATCAAATCATCTTTGTTCAGCCTTGGGAGGTTATAGGAATCCAGAAATTTATCCATTTTATCAAAGTTCTCTTGTTTCATGACATAAACATTTTCAAAGTAACTCTAAAATCCTTTGAATTACTATGGTTTCTTTTGTGGATGTCCCCCTTTTATTTCTGATTCTGTTTATTAGGGTTGTCTTTCTTTGTGAGTTTTGCTAGTGGTTTATTCTATACTTTATTTTTTTTATGTAGGAGTACTGCTATTTATTTAGCCACTAATTTGCTGATTGAATTGTGCATGAACTCCACCTTACTTTTTTTCATTTTTTATAATTTTATTTATTGAATCACCATGAGAGCAGTTACAAAGCTTTCGGGTCTATGTCTCGGTCATACAATGAAACATCCGTACCTTCACCAGTGCAAAGTACTGGTTGAACTCCATAAGAAGAAAACATCCAACCCTATCAGAAAATGGGGCAATGAAATGAACAGAAACTTGAAGATGAAATACGAATGGCTAAAAGACACATGAGAAAATGCTCTACATCATTAATCATCAGGGAGATGCAAATCAAAACCATAATGAGATATCATTTCACACCACAGAGACTGGCCCACATCCACAAGAACAAAAGCAACTGGTGCTGGCGTGGATGTGGCGAGAAAGGGACCCTCCTTCATTGCTGGTGGGAATGTCGACTGGTTCAGCCCTTCTGGAAAACAGTATGGACGATTCTCAAAAAGCTAGAAATTGAGCTCCCATTTGACCCAGCAATTCCACTCCTGGGAATATACCCCGGAGAGGCAAAAAAGTATAGTTGAAGTGACATCTGCAGTTGTCTGTTCATTGCAGCACTGTTTACAATAGCTAGAATTTTGAAAAAACCTAAGTGCTCAAGAACAGATGACTGGTTAAAGAAGCTTTGGTACATCTACACAATGGAATACTATGTAGCATTCAGAAAGGATGAAGTCATGAAATTTACATACAAGTGGTACTACATGGAAAATATCATGCTAAGTGAAATGAGTCAGAAAAAGAGAGATAGACATAGAAAGACTGCATTCATCTGGGGAACATAAAGTATCAAAATAGGAGACTAACACCTAAGAATAGCCGAGATAAGTACCAGGAGGATTACTCCATGGCTTTGAGGACAGCCGCACATGCTAGGAGAAAAGGCAGTTCAGATAGAGAAGGGAGCACCAAATAAAGGGTGTTGGGAGGTTCCTCTCAGGATGGGAAATGAGTGATGAGAGTAGACTATAGTCCGAACAAGATTGCCACTCAATGTCTCTTTTGCAAACCACAGCACTCAAAAGGAGAGAGATAACGGAGGGGAATGCCCTGCCACAGTGGTAGGGTGGGATGGGGGGGAGGGGGTTGGACGGATACTGGGACTGGTGGTGGTGGAGAATGGGCACTGGTGGAGGGATGGGTATTCTATCATTGTATAATTGAGACCCAAGCACAAAAATTTGTAAGTCTACAACAGTACCTCATGGTGTTTCACTAATAAAAATTTTTAAAAAATGTTTGGGTATGATTAAAATTATGATCTAGACCTTATTATTCAGGAACTAAAGTACTGTTATATATTTTACAGTAATTCTACAGTAATTAAAAATTTGTTCTAAGATAAGTTTATATTTACTAAGTATATATTTCATATATCTCTTATAAACTGTAGCTTGGAGTTCTTAGATTTCTTTTTGAGGGCATTTTGTTTTCAGTCAAACATCTAATAATACTCTTATCAACCATGCAGGTCTAGTTCATTCTGTCTTTATTATGTTCTTGGTTCCCCATCATACTAGGGCTTCAGTTAAGTTCTCCCCATCTCACCTTTCTAGGGTCCTTCAGACACACTTGAGAAAAAATTTTTTCTATTCATATTTTATTTACTGTAATTATTTTTGTCTAATGGATAAAATGAAAATGTAATTCTTTGGGTTTCAACATTTTCTCTGCCTACCTCTCAGAAGTCTCTAATTTATCCCTCTTTTAGGGCTCCCACAATTATATTTCTCTCACATTCCTCCCTGTGGTGTTAAATCTGTAATAATTATTACCTTAAAATATGTGATGTGCTTTTTAGCTTTTTTCCAATTTACCCACCATTTTCTAACCTGGTATAATATTAGTTTTGTATTTGACAGAATTATTATAAGTGCTTAAAAGTTTTAATAAATTTTGATAAAGTTCAAAACAAACATTATTTAGGGATATATATATATATATATAGATGCAGTAAGGTAAAAGAATGATAAACATAAAATTCTTTCTGGTTGCTGGAGGAAGGGAGAAGGAATGGGGGAATAGATAGGTAGATATATGTTGTTAGTAATAATCTAGGTTTCCTTAACTTTTCAATATGGAAAACAGAATAGTAATAGTCCTTAGGAATTATTGAAACGACGAGTTTCAATAATTATCAACATTTTAAAAATCTTTTAAAAATATATTTTGCTATCACTTTTCTTCTGGCATATTTAATTAATTGTGTACATAAAGTTTTACTATAGATTAAGTAAAATGGTTACAATTGTGTTGACGTATATAGTACACATTTTCAAAATTACTGCACCTCATCACCACCAAAGTGTCAGTGACCCTCTACCACTGTCCCATGCCACCTCCAGTAGGGTCATTATTTCCCACAATGCTTAGCAACCAGTTTTGCAATCAAAGGTCAAGGGTTTGTCACTGATGGATACCATCTATTCCTTGTTTTGTTTCTTTCTATTCCACAGATGGGTAAGATCATCTAGTTTTCTTTTTCTTCCTCTGAATTATTTTATTTAACATGATACCCTAGAGGTCTATTCATGTTGCAGAAGACTGTATAATTTCACTTATATTAGAATTAAATCTCAGTTGCCGATTTGAGATTATAAAAAACAAATAAATATTTACTGGTATAGTACTTCCTGTATATAATTTTCTCATCATAGCAACTTTGAGATCTTAATGTCTCTCTCTCTCTCTGTCTCTCTCTCTCTGTCTCTCTCTCTCTCTCTCTCTCCCTCTCTCCGTCTCTCTCCCCCTACACACACACACACACACACACAGTTGCCTGAGTAGTTAATGTAGCTTGTTACATGTGTAACATGGATTGAAAACAGCTCTTAGTGACCCTAACTGAATTCCGAACATAAAATTTCAATTAATTTTATAACAGGGTTCGACTACACCAGTAACTGTTTTCAAAGGTTCAAAGAAACCTTATTTAAAAGAATGTGTTTTGATTATTAACCATGATACTGGAGAATGTCGACTAGAAAAACTCAGCAGCAACATCACGGTAAAAAAAACAAGGTATGTAGTTAACGAATAAATTTTAAGGAAATGTCAGTGAACAAACTTACTGGGTTAAGTTACAATGTTCTATAATGGCTATTACTGTGTAGTAAAAACATTTTTAAATACTTTACCAGGTTTACATTTGTTGGACTCCTTAACCTTTTACTATGTTCCCAAGGATATTAAAGGCCAGTTTTGTTTCTCAGTCTTTTTTTTTTAAATTTTCTAAAAATTTTCTTTCTTTTGGAGGTAATACCTGGCTGTGCTCAGGGCTTTTTCCTGGGAAAGCTCTGTGCTCAGGGATCACTTCTGAGATTTCTTAGGAGACCACATGTGATGCCAGGGATTGATCCTTTGTCAGTCATGTGCAAGGCAAGGCAAACATCAAGTCTGCTGTACTATTGTGCTGGTTCCTCCAAGTTCATTTATGTGTGTGTGCATGTGGTTATACTTTTTATTCCATTAAGTTGCTTTCACAGGACTGGACTGAAAGTATCTTCTCTCTCCAGAGTAGTTTCATCATTAGTAAAAACTTTTTGAGCAGCCAAAAAGGAGTTTCATATATAAATTAGGTCCTCAAAACTTTATAATTTATTTTTATAACTCCATTCCGTTTTAAAAGTTAATAAGAGGATATCGGTACCTCCAATTCTTTTCTGGAAATAGGTGGCACATTATCATTTAATATAAAGGACTTGTTTCTAAAAGTCATACTAATATAAAAAGATGAAAGATTCGTGTGATCTGAAGAGAAACCAGAACTAAAAAAGTCATGCTAATATAGATAAAATTACTACAAGAATTTAAGGAGACAAAATTTCTATAAGAATTTAATGATTAATTGGAATATTTAGGGAGTCTACATTGGTGTTCCTTTGAGAAGAGATTAATAGGACATTAACCCCAAAACATACTTCTTGATAAGGAGTTCTTTGGGTGCTTAATAAATATATAAGTTCTCAAGTGCAACTTGAGATCAGGGAAATAACTGGGAAGCTCTATTTTTATTTATCCCGTCGCCTAACTAGTGACTTTCATTCATGGGAAAATTTAGGAAACACCAATTTGATTGATTACTTAGAACATGAGACTTTAATCAATATTTGAAGGTGAAATATATCTTATTTGGGGACTATTGAATAAAACAACATGAATAAATCAAATATTTTCCTGTGTTTAAGTATTGAAGAATGGGGGTTGAGATTGATAGTGAATTAAAGGTGACTTTAGAAAGGCAGATTAAAGCTAAAGTCTTCAGTTATAACTAAGATGTAGGACATGTCTTGTTGGCAGTGGTTTCATATTAAAGTTTCATATTAAATTATTAAACATTGAATAATAACCTTACATTTTGTTTTTGAAACATTAATCCACAAAAAAATGAGTCCGGTAAAATAATGTGTGGAATTCAGAAAATGTGTGTCACAGTTTCTGAGGGTAGAATGAAGAGTGGGAAATAACTCATGAAGGAAGAAATAACCGGATTTAGTGGCTGCAATGGGAGAGTAGAAAGGCAACCATATTGTATTTCTCTTTTACCTGAAGAGTGTTTAAAGAAAAATATATAAATTTCCTTTAGTAGCTTACCTTAAACTTAAAAGCATTGAAGTAATTTTAACAGAAGTAATCATTTTATAATTTAATAAATAATTATGCATCTTATTTTAGTAATCTGTGTATGTGTTATCATTGAACTGTATGTTCCTCAATGGAGCCATGTATACACCATTTATCAGAATCAGTAGTATGAGTTAAATTTATGTTTTAATTCTTAGGTATTACTTGAAATACTTATGGACAAAAGCATGAATGTTTAATTTTAGTAACTTTGTAACTTAAAATTGTTATTATGCTTATTATTGTTATTCTTTTGAATTCATGTTCTTGACTGCAGAGTTGAAGGAAGCAGTAAAATTCAATATCGCATAGAGCAACAACAGCAACAAATGTGGAATTCAGCTAGGACTCCCAATATTACAAAGCATTCTCCATCTGAAGAAAAGATGTCCCCAACATCTCTTATGGATGATATTGAGAGAGGTAAAAAAATCTAAATACTTCTAATATCCCTTTAGAAGAGATAACTAAAGCATATTAACCAAAAATTTTAGTTTTATTTAATAACATAACCATAAACTCATTTAGAGCATTTTTTTGGATGGGAGGACCTGGGCTACAACTGTCAGTGCTCAGGGATTACTCCTGGCTCTGTGTTCAGGAATCAGTCTTGGAGGAGATTTGGAGACGATATGTGGTGCTAGGGATCAAACCCAGAATGGCAATGTACAGGCCAAGCACCCTAGCCATTGTAATATCACTCCAGTTCATAGGTTTTTTTTAAATTATTATTGTAAAGTTTTGTGATAGAAAAGCCTAAATTACTAATCAAGGAATTATGTAAAAAAGACTAAGAGCGTTTTTTTTTTATTATTCTGGGAAATAAAGTGTGTAGATGTGTTTAACCAGTTTTCTTCTTTTTAGTAGTTGTGATGATTAAAATTCAGTTCTTCACAGCATCCTCCTGTTACAGTCCTTTGAGTTAGAATGTAGTTCTCTTAAGATGTCACCAAATCAACAGGAAAGTGAAGAGATACAGCAAGCAAAAGCAGCAAGGAAGTTCTGAATTGCTGCTCAGTTCTGGACTAGAAAATATTTCAGGGAGGCACAGTTCTTTGAAAGAAATAAAAATTAATATTTTTTTCTAGCTGGAATTTGGTGTTCAGTGTTGTAGTAATTTTGATGGGGTAAGACCCTGCCATAAGGGCTGGAGCGATAGCACAGCGGTAGGGCGTTCACCTTACAAGCGGCCAACATGGCCGAGCCGAGTTCGATTCCTCCACCCCTCTCGGAGAGCCCGGCAAGCTACCGAGAGTATCTTGCCCCCACGGCAGAGCCTGGCAAGCTACCCGTGATGTATTCGAGATGCCAAACACAGTAACAACAAGTCTCATGATGGAGACGTTACTGGGCCCACTTGCGCAAATCGATGAACAATGGGAGGACCGTGACTGTGACCGTGAAGACCCTGCCATTAAAGTATATTTTCTTACATACTTTTATTTTATAGCTTGCATGTATCTCTAATTCTGCTTGCCCCCTTCTGGTTCCAGAACAGTATTAGTTCCGTAGTATATTATGTCTCTTTTCTAAACAATAGAAGATGTTGTTCAGAACACTTGTTGCTAGAAAGGATGATTAATTTTATTAATTTTATTATTTTATTATATTTGCTTCCAAAATGGACTTGGATCTTGTCATTATATACATGTATGCAGTAAATTATTGAAAAAGCAAACTGTTTAAAGGTAAGAAACAAGCAGTTTTGCTAATTATGAAAACATTAAATTTGTATCTGAACTTTGTAGCCACTAAGAAAAAATGGAAACCACATGCACACATATATGTTATATATAATTATGCATAATATTGTCTGATATGTTCACAAAAGTAAAGATTTTTCCTGCTACTAAATTGTAAATGGAATGTATCATATGGAATTTTATTTTTGTTGGATTCTATTTAAAAAATTCTTATTTCTCATATTTTTAAAATTAAAGAACTGTGATTTACTAAATTATTTATAGTTGATTTTTAGGCATACAATATTTGACACTAATCCAACAGTGTCACCTTCCCTCTACCATTGTTCCCGTATTCCCTCCCCATCCCAAAGCCCACCATCTCCACCTGTCATATTGACAGGCACATTACAAAGTTTCAGCAGTTGCTATTTAGACCTCATGTTTTCATTGTTGTTGAGTCTGTGTTTTGGTTATATGGCTATACCACTTACTCATATCACTGGTATATCTGAATCCTTGAAGCCTGTTTACCATCACTTCTCATTCTCTTCTCCACCCCCCTTGATTTCTTTGTTTCTCTGTCCAGCTCCTCTCCAAACACTGGGGAAAAGGGTGATCTCGGCAACCCTCTTTTACTACATTTCCTCATCCAATTTTCTATATTCCACAGATAAATAAGATTATCCTGTTTGTCTTTTTTCTCTGGCTTTCTTCATTCAACATATCTTCCAGTTCTCTAACCATTTTGCAGCTAATTGCATGATTTCTTTGTTTCTTTCAGCTGCATAGTATTCCATTTTTTATATATAGCGCATCTTCATAATCCATTCATATGTCATTGGACACTATAATTCCATATCTTTGCTATGGTACTGAGTGCAGCAATGAACTGTGATGTGCATATGTCCTTTTGAGGAAATGTTTTTGTGTGGAGGGGAGTAGATGCCCCAAAGTGGAATTTCTGGGTCATATGGCAGTTCAATTCTAAGTTTTGGTATGTGCCATTCTCAGTGTTGTGAGATAGTATCTCATTGTCATCTTGATTTGTATTTCTCATGATAAGTGATGCTAAGCATTTTTTCATGTGCCTACTGGCCATCTACCTGTCTTCCTCTGAGAAGTGTCAATTCATATCCTCTTCCCATTTTTTTGATAGGTTTTTTGAATTTTTGTTGTTGATCTTTGTGAATATATATCCTGGATATCGAACCTCTATTTGATGTGTTGAATGCAAATATTTCCCATTCAGTTAGCCATCTTTTAGTTTTAGACTGTGTTTCTTTTGCCATTCAGATGCTCTTTAACTTTATATAGTTCCATTTGTTTATTTTTTATTGGGTTACCTTTGCCAGTGGTATCAGATCATTGAGGGCACCTTTGAAATCCAAATCTTGAAGTGTTCTGCCTTTATTTTCCTCAGTGTATGTAGATCTCAGTGTGTTTCTTTAGGTTTTTGAGCAGAAGCTTTATGAAGTTAGCCGAACGAACCTTCATTTGGTGCATACATGTTGATGACAGTATGTTGTTTTCTTGACCAGTAAATAGTGTCCATCATTGTTTCTAATTACTTTCTTTATATTGAATGGAATTTGGTCTGATATAAAGTATGGTTGTCCCAGCTTTTCTTTTCTGTCTTTTATTCACTTGTATCACTATTTTTCATCTTCTCACTCTAAGTCTTTATTTATCCTGAGAGTTTAGGTGTGTTTCCTATAGGCAGAAAATGAATGAATTTTCCTTCCTGATCTCTCTAGCTACTGTATACCTTTTTACAGGAGAGTTTAGTCCATTGACAGTCAGAGAGATAATTGTCATAAAGAGCTGTGTTGCCATTTGATTCTATGTGTGCCCACTGTAAGAACCCTAGAGACAGTTGTTTTTGCAGTAGTCCATTTATTTTTATAAGTGGCCTTTCAGTAATTCTTGCAGGATTGGTTTAGTTGTTGCAAATATTGCCAATTCCCTTTTTTTGTCTGAAAAGGGCTTTTTATCTTTCTCTCAAGTCTAATAGATAGCTTTGTGGGATAGTGGACTCTAGGCTGGAAGTATTTTTCAGTGAGTACTTTAAATATGTCATTCCACAGTTTCCTGGCTTGTAAGATGACATATGGAAAGTTTGTTGTGATTCTTTTTAATTTTATTTTAAAATTTTTTCTCCCCAATTTTATTTTATTTTTATAAAGTTGTTCACAATAATTTGTTACATTATTATAACACCAATCCTACCACCATAACATCTTCCCACCACCATTATTTCGAATTTTCCCACCACCACTCAAACCTGCCACAAAAGCAGGGGCTAAATAATTTATTTTGTATGGCTTGTTCTGAATAATGCAGTAAAAATGATTGGAAAAAAAGCAAGCTTCCTTAGAGGAAAATGTGTGAAGATTCTTGTATCTCACCCTAGAAACTTTAAGCCCTTGTAGAAGAGATAACTAACATCTTGTTACATGTTGAGCTTTGTGAGGTAATATGTATTTATTTTTGGATCGATTTTGATTGTTTTCTACAATTTTAAATAGGGTGATACAACTGGAGATGACTTTGGGAACCAGAAGTATCTCTGCAGCTTGTTGCTCCCTTCTGAGATTTATTTGTGTGTATCTGGATTATGGCCATTAGTGAGGTTATTTGGTGCTGGAGGCAGTTTATGGGCTGGGGCGTGACCACCAGCTCCAGGAAAGACAGGGAAATGGGGGGAGGTTGACCATTCACAACTCCACAAGAGGCTGGAGATTTCAGTCACAAAAGTCGCATACTTAAGTCTTTCAGTAGATTCGTTCTCATGTGTGAGGGGCTCACCCTGAGCTTGTGGAGATCAGCCTTGAACACAGTGGGGATTTGGTTCTGGAGGTTTTTGGCTGCCGGGGCTCTATTGGGGCTGGTGATGGGCACACCCCTCCTGAGCCCCAGAAATGAGCTTCACCCTGGTGTGGTGTCTGGAGACATCTCTGCAGCTTGTAACTCTCTTCCAAGATTTATTTGTGAGTCATTTGTTGTGATTCTTCTGTAGTTTCCCTTGTATTTGAGGATTTTCTTCTCTCTTGCTGCTTTAGTAGACTCTCTTTGTCTTTGATTTTATCATTTTGGTTACTATATGTCTTGGCATTCTTTCATTTGAATCTATTTTGCTTGAAAGTTTTTGGGCCTCTTGAATATGTTCAGGAGTCTTACTCAAGATATCAGGAAAGTTCTCAGTTATTATTTGTTCGACCAATTGTTCTTCCCCATTACTTTTTTCCTCTCTCAATATTTCTATGATTCAAAAATTATTTCTCTTGCTATTATCTATCAAGAATCTTACATTCTATTCCATTTTTTTACTGTTATTTTTTCACTTTGTGATTGGTGATGGCTAATACTTTGTGAGTGCTCTGATTTGAGTTTAAGGTGCCAGATATGTGAGGTGACACCTAATTTGTTATTTTTTTCAGTGAGCAGTACTCTTTATTAGTCTAACAATGCCTGTGCCCTTACAGTGTTACTTAACTGTCATGCAGTTCAGTTTTCATGTATCTGTTTGTAGAGAAAAGTTAAAATAGATATATTTGAGGAGATATGTAAGACCCAAGATTCCTTGAAGTTGCTGGGGTTGAAGGGGTGGTATTGTGTAAATGTGGTTTGGGATTTGAGAGGACCGCAAGGCATCCAGGGTGGAGTTTCAGAGGGTACAGAAGTCAGAGGACAGGATGAGAGCTGGTGCTCTTGATACAGCTGAATATGAAAAAAATATTTTTAAATAAAATAATTTAAATGTATTTTTAAATTCCTCATTAACAGTTCCTTAGAAACTAATATATTCTAACTTTATATTTGCTTAATATTATATTTAATCTATAAATTTATTTCCATTTTATTTTCAGAACTGAAGGCAGAAGCTAGTCAAATGGACCAGATGAGTAGTTGTGATAGCTCATCAGATTCTAAAAGTTCATCATCTTCAAGCAGTGAAGACAGTTCTAGTGATACAGAAGGTGAAGAGTGCAGATCCTCTTCTTCTGATGTAGGGAATTATACCTCAGGACATCCTACCATATCTACTATGACACAGTCCAGGATTCCTGATACAGATGCTGGTCATAATAGATATGACAGCAGTGGCCTCCTAATGAATACTTTAAGTAAGTATGCGCAAATATATATAATTGGAAAAGCAAGAACTCACAGTAAAATTAGTAATAATGATCTAAAATTTGGATTAAGAGAAAGATTCCTATTCATTTGATACTGTTACCATTACCTTTTAATTTAATTAGCATTATTAAATTTATTAATAATTAAATTTGATTCAATTAGAATTTAATTGAATTTTAATTGAATTACCCTTTAAACCTCATTGCATGCAAGTATTGACTTCTTATTTTAATATAGTTGATTTTTTCTCAGTTCTATTTACTTCATTAATATTTCTCAAATATATCTATTTCTTTACCCCCCTTTGTTTTTTTGTGCCACATCCAACAATTCTCGGGGGCTACTTAAGCTTTGCACTCAGGATTTACTTCTAGTGGTACTCAGGAGTGGTACTCAGGACACCATATAGAATGCTGGGGATCAAAACTAGGTGGGCTGTCTGCAAGGCAAATGCCCTACCCACTGTACTATTGCTCTGGCTTTGTGTCTGTTTCTTGCATGTCTACCACTAGTTACTCAGTTTCAAATTATCATTAATTGTTTTGAAAATAATTCTCTTATTTATTTTCAATCCATGATTTAATTTGTACACAAATTGAGATTTTTATAATCCAGATATAAATTAGGGGCTCCAACTACTGCTAAGAGGTTCTGGGAGCCACTCTTGATGATTCTCTTAACAACTGTGCTGGCAGTTAAGTGCTGTATCTCAAGGATGTGGTGTTGCTTGGGCCTTGTGATGTCAGAGACAACAAGGGCCAAATGCTTTGGGATCTCCAAGGTTATCTCAAGATATACCTATACTATCTCTCTAGCTTTTCAAATGTAATTTGTAATGTCACCAGCTTTAAAATTTTAAACAGCTTTTAATTGTTTTATGGTGGATGGAGATAAAACACCTTAGCAAATTAGTTTTTCTCTTTCTGTTTAGCAATACTTGCCTTCTTTACTGCAATGCTCAACTTACTCTACCTCAGAATATGCTAACCTGTCTGCCATAAACCTTTCCTTCTTTTCATGTCATTAACTTTTTTCTTTGGATTACAGGTAAAGGTATTTGAAGAAAGGTTTCTTTTATAAAGAAAAGGGAATTTGATCTTGATCTTTTTACAAACCCTCAGAATAATATCTTCTTTATCTCAACTATCATAATTATGAATTTGCATTTTAGTTATTTGCTATCATTTAAAATATAAACTACAGAAGGATAGTTTTTTTCTTATCATTAATAACTATCACTGAGTTAATACTTGAGACAGAATATGTATAGCTAGCTCAGTAAAATGCTTATTTATATTTTATATAGGGATCACCCTTAGCAGCATTCAAGAGCACATAAGGCAATAGGGCCCAACTATATAGCTCTAAGATACAGTATTCATATCAGTGCAGCAGGGTTTGGGGATAAAAGTGTTCAGAGCAATCAAAACTACTCCAGTGGTGTTCAGTAAACCATGTAGTTCCAGGGATCAAACTCAGGACCCTTTATATGCCAAGCGTGTATTTCTCCCCTTCGAGTGATATTGCCTGCCCTAGTAAATACTTTCAAATAAAGGCAAGGCAATACTCTGGGTGAGTATTACTTTAAAGCTAACATTATTGTGTTAATTAACTATAATAAAATTAGTAATTTAGAAAGACTAACAAGCCAGTGGTCCAAAGTGGGCTGTACCATTCCCCAAGGATCATTGAAGGATAGTAGTAGCTTCAGGTATGGTCAGGGGGGGGGCAAGGGGTGTTTTCTGTTTGTTTCATTTTTTTAAAGGTAGGTTTTCAGATAGGTCTGAATAATTTTTTTAAAGGGGTGGTATAGACCACATAAGTTTGGGAATCTCTGCCCTGGCCTAATGGTATAATGAATTAAAGAAGAGAAACCAAGACTAGGTGGAAAATTAGAGTAAGCTGTGAGTTAATTTAGAACCAGAAAAGATCTTTTGGACTTCTAGTTACTTGTTTACAGTGCTATTCCTAATTTAGGAGGTAAAATTGGACATCTTATTTTCTAGCTGGACAAATAATGATAAAAGATTCAATTTGTGAAGAAAATAAAAAATTATTTTTATGTCATAATTATATTCACTATGTACATACATAAATATTAAACTATATAGTTATACATGTGCATATATAAGCTCAATAAACTTACAAATATCTATCATAATGTAATATATAATGCATTGCAGTCATATAAACAAAGTTTAGTGAGGATATAAAGTCAAAATAATATGCCTCATCTGGTATCTTACAACTAAAGAAATGGAAACAAAACTTTTTTGTTGTTTATTTTTGGGGCTATACCTGGTTATGCTCAGGGGATATTCCTGGCTCTGTGTTCAGGAATTACTCCTAGTGGTGCTCTGGAGACAGTATGGGATGCCAGGTATCACACCTGGGTCAGCCATGTGCAAGGCAAATGCCCTGCCCATTTTACTATCTTGACAGCCCCAACAAAACATTTTTTATTGCAAGTATTTTTATTTTTATTTATTTATTTTTTAATTTTTATCAATGAGACACCATGAGGTACAGTTGTAGACTTACAAATTTTGTGCTTGGGTTTCAGTTATACAATGATCAAATACCCATTCCTCCACCAGTGCCCATTTCCCACCACCACGGATCCCTGTATCCCTCCCACCCCCCATCCTCCCATCCCACCCTGCCTCTGTGGCAGGGCATTCCCCTCTGTTCTCTCTCTCCTTTTGGGTGTTGTGGTTTGCAAAAGAGGCATTGAGTAAGATGCATTATTTAAATGTGAGAGAAATTAGTTCCTACCAGGACAAAATTAATGTTTGAAAAAATTCATTTCAAAGGGTTCAAGTTTTACTGATCCTATTATATGACTATTGCAATGAAAAGGAAAATAAATATCAAAAGTGTATTCTTTGAATTTTTCTAAGCACATTCATTAAAAACTCTCATGTTAAAATGAAACTAGAGTCTGACAAAATGGTAGTATAGGTGCTTGCAATTAAAAATCTACACTAAAGTACAAGCAGAAGTTAATTATGTAGTATAGAAAAAGTCTCATCCACTAACAACGTCATTTGCCTGAGAGACTCATGCATCCATATTTATGAAGATGTGTGATCACTCCACAGAATCAGAGGGACAAGATCAAACTGTGAAGGCATAATAACTATGTAATGCAGTGCCTCAGTGCACACCAGCAACTATTAGTATGGCAGACCTAACCAAGAAGGGATAGATCAGAAGACTGGAAATAAATGTCCACATTTGTTAGATTGTGAAATTGCACTGTTGTCAGAATTCAAACTCTGGGTCAAAAATTAAAAACAAAAACCCAGTCCTAGTGTTTTAGAACAGGCCAGTGATATCTGAACTGACTGATTTACCTCTTAAACATCATTAAGGAGAGCTAGTCTGCCTAAACAACAGAAGCCCAAAATGAAATGGTTTCAGTGTTGAATTCTACCAGATGTTCAAAGAATACTAATCCTATTTAAACTTGAAAAAATGAAGAGTGGGGGAACAACCTCAAGCACATTTTATGAGTAAATATTGCTCTAATTCCAAAACCATAAAAGGATATGGATAACAGGGTAAAAGGATAGAACAGAAGAAAACCACAGAACAATATCTCTGATTAATATAGATGAAAATAATTCTTTAAAAATCTTGGCAGATTGAATCCAGCAACACATCTAAATAATTATGAATCACACATATTCATCGCATAGAAACCAGGAGAGTTCAATATATATAAATCAATTTATATGTTATACCACATCAACAAAATGGAAGATTAAATTCACATGATCAATAGGTGCAGAAAAGGGTCTTGAGAAAATTCAGCATTCCTTATAAATGATTAATAAGTTAGAAATAAAATACTTAGACATAAAAATATCATATATAACAACCCATAACTATTATAATTCTCATGCTGAAAAATTATGATACTAGAAACGGATTTCCACCCTTCACTACTACCTCCAACATAGATTTATTTATTTATTTATTTTTTTAATATATAGGTTTTATTTATTTATTTATTTGTTTTTTTATTTATTTATTGAATCACCATGGGAAACGTTACAAAGCTTTCAGGTTTAGGTCTCAGTCATGCAAATATCAAGCACATTTCCCTTTACCAAAACTTATTTTTTACCATCCAACATAGATTTAGAAGTCGTACCCAGAGCAGTCAGGAAATGAAAATATATAATAAATATACATATATATATAATTCCAAATTGGAAAAAAGTAAATTGTTATTTGCAGATGACATAAATAGAAATTCCTAATATTTGTTAAAAACTAGAGATTCTGGGGATAGCTCAAAGGGCTGACTGGAATGCGTGCACTCCATACTGCATTCAATCTTTAGCAACACATGATCCCCTAAACACCAACCTGGGAGTAGCCCCTGAGCATTATTGGCTGTGGTCCAAAAGCCAAAATAAATAAATTAAAATTTTTAAGAACACTAGTGACAACTACTGGATGATCTTATTCATATCTAGAATACTAATATTTAAACTAGCAAAAAAACCTTTAAAGTGAGTGAAAACTATGTTGGTTACCTGAGGAAAAGGAAAGGAGAGCGGAATGGATAATGGGTCTTCTTTAGGTGATGCAAGTGCTGAGAATTATACATGTATAGAACTATAAAGTTAACTCCCTGAAATGCTTCAATATTTTAAGTCAAGGATAAATTTTTAATAAATTGTCCCTGTAAGGTATGTTTAATTTTAAAATTTCCAAAGCCAATAGAAAATTATTTTTAAAGTAGTGAATGCCAGAGCACTAATGCCGGTGATACACAAGTAGATCTTAAAAACTATAAGAAGTAGATAAAAAAATTAATTGCTTAATAATGCTTTTTTTTTTTTTTTTTTGGTTTTGAACCATAATAGCAATGCTCAGAGCTTACTCCTGACTCTGTGCTTAGCAATCACTCCTGGCAGGATCTGGGGACCGTACAAGTGCTAGAAATCAGTTTGTTTTTATGCAAGACAAGCAC